TTTCTGACTCATCTGAGATTTAACTAGTCACAGACATAAAAATGTTTAACAAACTCAAAGGTCTGTATCGAATGACTTAATTGCCCAGAAAACACTACAAGTAGACAGAAGCTTACCCACATGCCTTTGATCAATGTTCTCTCATTGACTTCCCTCCCCCCAATCTTTTCAAATCCCACTTAATGCCCCAGCTCAACTGCTACCACTGTGTGGCTTCCCATTCCCACCCAAATTACCCTTCCAACACACACACACACGCGCGCGCGCGCACCCACCCACATCCACGCACCATTCCCTTCCTTTTCTTTTTAATTTATTTTTTGCACAGCACTCCACTCTTGATCTTCTTTCTACTGTATAGTTACTTGTAGATGTGGACAAATCTTCTTGAGCACAAGACAGACTGTGTGAGAACAGAGAAGCTTATTTCATCCAAACCCTACTGTCTATCCCCTTGAGACACTGTATGCTGTGGGGGTTCATGCTTGGTTGCTATCAGGTATTTGAAAACGTAACATCCGTAAGTGTTTCTGGGGGTTAGTATTAACTACTACATCTTAACCTGCATATTTAGTTACTTAAACTAAAAGTAATGTTAATATTGAATTTGAGACCCTAAGATTGTGGCATGTCTTAATTCAAAGTAGAATAATGTCAGTTGGCATACTTTTGATATTCAGGGTATTTTACCATATTAGTGCTTTGTAAATTGTCACCCCTTTATTATATGTTTACAGAGGGCAAGAACATCTGGCCAAATTCTTCTGTCAACCCAACTACTGTATTATTATTGTATATAATAACTTATTTTGCTTCAGAAAGGATATGGGCAACTTAATGCATATGAGAGCACTTCAAGATTCACTAAATGGCACTAATGTCAGATTAAAAACTACACAAATGAGTTAATAATCAAATCCAACAAAGGAAAAGCCAGATCCACAAGAAGGGGAAAGCAGGTTCACTTTTGCAAGTTGTAACTGGGCTTGTAAAAACTACACCAAGTTAGCTGGAAACTGCTCTGGGCTCTCACAGCACTTAACGACATTGTGGTCCTGGCCTTGTGGCTTATCTGCCCTTCCTTCTGGGTGACAGTTTCCAAGAAGGTAAGAGCCACATCGTGCTCATTTTTATAGGCTTGGGGCACAACGCACAATACACAGATCACCAATAAACCTGTGTTGAACAGCCCGAATAGCTTCTGTTTATTTCTATAAACTAGAATTCTGGAGAGGTTAATTTCAGTGACCCTATATTCAACAGGCTGCCTGAATTAATGGTATAGATGTTTTAGTCCTTCCAACTTAAAAGGGTATTGAGCCCACTTCTGGGAGTTTTCAGAGAAAGAATACAAATAGTAGAGAAAAATGAACCATTCACTGCAATGACTGAAGCTGTAAGTGCTCTTCCAACAATAATCGTTACAATTTTAGCAATACTTCTGTTTTCTTCTGTTTGAGGTTCTGATATGGTAACAGATACAAAGGATCAAAACCAATGCCTCTTAAATGTATCTTCTCCCGATAAAAAGTATATGCATACTGTTTTGGAAGTATATTAAAATTTCCACATACTTACTGTTACAATATATGCATTTTCTTATTTCTAGGTAACCCTCTGAGTAGGATGTTACAAGCTTCCACTACACATTTTTGAATGTCTTATAAAGTAAGGGTAGGACACTCTTTTTTTTTTTTTTAAACAGAAAGGCTAAATTGCTAACACTTCTACTCAAATCAGATTAAAATATCATAAAATGATGTTAAGATTAAAAAATTCATGTTGGCAACCCTAACACAGAATTGCACTACTCTAGGACGATTTGCAAGCTTGAGGGGAGAAAGGATTCTAAGGGGGGAAAAAAAAAAACCTCTCAAGTATACCAGTAGTCTCACCAACCTCCTTTCCTGAGAATTTTTCCACTATCTGCTCAAATATAAAAGAACTGCTGACATGCAAACCAGTCAAAATACGGGTAAGCATGCAAGAGGAGAGAAGTGAGGGAAGGATGTTCCGATAACACAAAATTAGAGTATTAAATTCATATAATAAGGAAGGGGGTATGGAGATTTGAGATTAGAAGAAAAAGAATTGTCTTATCACTCAGCTACTCTCTTGACTACTAAGTTGTGAATTCAGGACAATTACTTTTAGAATGGCTTTTTACCAAAAAAAACTGACAGATACAAATTTTAAAAAACCATTTGGTATACTTTGTAAGAAAAAAAAAAGAAAAAAAGTACTTCATTATATCAAATTTTCTTAAGTTCTATAGAAGTAGAATCTTCACATAAAGGATCAGCAAGAAGTATTTTCCTTCCTGCACAGATCTGGTAAGGATGTGTAATGAGAACTGAACATGTATGTGCAACACAGGATTGGCACAGTTCCTGACATGGACACGTGCTACACACATCAGCCTTAACCGAATGAAACCGGAGTTTCTGATTTCAGAGAAGAGTCTCTTGACAATCTGGCACTTGGGCAACAAAAATAAATCTCACACACCAGCAGTTAATCCCATGGGTGAATTAAACCTTGCTGGCAGAAGCAGAGTAAGTTATCTTCCTTCTCTTTGGTTTTTCGTTCGCTCAAGTAAATGTGTGAAGACAATTCCCATTTGTTTAAAAAAAAAGTTGATTATTAAATCAGAGCAATAGAATGATGTCAGCATCCAATTACCCAAACTTTACAACTAGCAGATGAAAGCACGTATTCCTATAAAAATTACTCATTAAGTAATATTTGAAAGCTAACTATCAGAAATGTCATTCAAAAAATTTTTTTTGCACATTCTACTTCAAATTAACATGCTTCTGGAATTCTTACTTTAGATAACACAGCTTTCAACTAAAGCTCTGAGAGAACCTCTTAACTCAAGAGGGTAAGTTTATTAGCCTGAGCACAGGAGCCCCCAAAATGTGTATAAAGACCTACTCACCACACTGTTCTTTCCCTTCAACTTTGTTTATTGATGTACTGAACATGAAAAAGTACAAAGAATCCAAACACAAAAGAAAACATGTACAGCCTCTTAAATACTCAACAGAATATATTTTCTATTCCAACAGATGTGAATTAAGTCATACTGTACAACTTCAAATAAATACCAGCCTTACATTTTATTAAGTGCTCTGATAAACACTGTAAAGTGAAGCACAATTTGCATGCCCTCTCATCAATGCCTTGGTTTGCTACAGTAGTATAGGAAAGAAGCATGTAGCTGCTGTTTTCCCACGAGGGAAACCTTATTTTTTTTTTTAATATATACATGTATTTAGTTTTTTTTTTTTTAGTTTTTTTTTTTAAACGCAGAAGGTTAACTCTGACAATCTAAATGCACCTAAGGATATGAGAAAGTGCTAAGCCAATTGATTTCTGAATAGCATTGAGTGGGTCAGCATGAAAACTCGCTTATTCACTTTAGCACGCGCCTCACAGTATATGTACTGTACTATACTGAAAAATTTTATAACTACAATTTTAAATAATAAAAAAAACTCAACGCAACCGCAAAGATAATGTACAACTATGTTATGCATAGCACATTGCCTGTTCTAAGGGGAAGCATGTGAGCATCTCAGTTTATACAAAAAGCAGGACGTAACTATATAGTTCTCAGTGCATCCTGATGAAGGCATTTTTGCCTTCAGCTTTTTTGAAAATTTATTATAAGCTAGATGCTAATCAGAAAATATTTTGTATTTTTTAAAATTTCTTTCATACATGGTAAAGACTTATTTTATTATTTCCCCAAATAGTGGTTTAAGCATCATACAAAGTTAAATTTCAGTAGCATACAGATATTTATGATTTTTGTATGAAAAATGTAAGGAAATTTGTTCAAAACCTATGGTTATACTCATTTTTTTTTTACCACAAACATATTTATAAACGAAAATGTAGCATCACCATAAACAGCTGAAGCTAGACTATCTACAGACAAAATTAGCAACAAATCTGATGCACTGTAAATTCAAGTCCTCAGGACAACAAAAGTGATTAAGCAAGACCTCAAGTAACAATGTTAATGCCATTTACAAAGGAAAAAACTGATACAAAAACATTCAAAACCTGAACATCACTTGGCATGTAAGGGAAAAAAAAAATCAAATTAGCTGAAAGGTTCATAAACACAAGGTCTTATTTACATTACACAAAGCTCAGGTGTTAGCCTTGAACGTAACTTTCAAAATACCTTCAAATATATCCAACTCAGATCACTTTTGCCGATTTGCTGCAGTACAAATCATGTGCAACATCTTTTTTTCCTTAAGACAAAACAATTCTTCAAACAATACTGCAAGTACATCACTAAACACCATGAGCTCTATCTGAAGGGATTTCTTTAGGAAGAACAGATTTTTTTTCCCCCATCTCTTGGTAATTTAAATTTCTTGCCTGCTCTTATATATTCTTTTGTAAATTTTTTTTATTTGTTTCAAAATCACAAATCAATGTGAGCCACCTATCACATAATAACCAGGATGATCAGACATTCCACTGGTGATTACAAAAACGAAACCAGCAGTGTTTCCCCCATTGATTCTACTCCTTTCATACAAAGATCTCAAAAGTAGTATTTTCTACATCATAAATCTTTCTAAATTTTCCAACCGCTGCAAATTTCCTGGTAAATTTTAAAAGCTCACTAGGTGTCATATGAAGAGATTTCTCAAAGTATTCAAGTCAAAATATTTGTTCCAGGACCAGTAAAAAGTTTCTCCAAATTTTCTTTTTTATAAAAATAGATGCTTTTTTTAAACCCACATCAAAGAGGCTCTTATCTCTTTGGCAAGGTACTGCTTTACGAAAAGTTCTCCAGTATTCTTACAATAAGCGTTTATAATGTAGCCCCCCCCTTCCCCAACCCAAATCATAATTACAAAATAAATACTGTTTTTAACTTCATAAATAAAAATGTAAACTTCAAAATACTTTTCTTAGACATAACAGCAATGCTTTAAATGTAAACCAAACACAAAGCTAATCAGAAAAAGAAATAAAAGGGGGAAAAAAAGACACAACCAACTGAAGAATTACAACACAAAGCCTCAATATTTACTCACAGGTTCAAGGCAGTTATGTAAAAAGAAAAGAAATGTCTTCCCTTAGCTGAAACACTTTAAAAGGTCCACCTTCTTCAAAGAAGGCAATAGAATGCAATGTGACAGGTAAAAACCCTGTACCTCTTGTCCATATTCAAACATAAAAGATATTTAAGAAGTTTTAATTCAAATACTAGCAATAAAAAATCTCACATATTTCTTAGGATGCTAAGTAGTCGTTTTATCCCCATCTCAACACTGACTTACAAAGACATTTACTAATGTATAAAGTTTCTCTTAACTTGCCTTTGTTGTATAGTTTTCATATATAAATGGACTGAGGACAAGAGCTCATTAGGCTTTGTGCGTTTTGTTTGTCTTAAAGGAGACCTGCAGTACTCTGTCTCCCAGACGGTATCCATTGAGGCTAGCTATCGCCATGGCAGCCTCATCATAGTTTGTCATAGTCACAAATCCAAAACCTTTGCATTTATTGGTGTTAAAGTCACGGATGACCTTCACGTTGGTGACAGCTCCAAAAGGCCCAAACATTTGCCACAGGATACTCTCATCTGCGTCAGGAGCCAGGTTGTACACAAAAATACACCACCCTGTTCCTGGGTGCCCAGGGATATTAATTCCAGCCAAACTGGTCATTCCATCAATGGTCATTGGAGAAAACCTACTAAACAAAATAGGAAACACACATACACACACACACACACACCACACACACACACACACACACAAATAGAAACAGAGGTTGGTTACAGCAATGGACGTATTTCTTTTCCCCTCCCATCCCAAGAGTTTCAGTAACCCCCTCCCCTCCAACAGATACATACAACTATCTGATGTTTCAACCAAAGTCTGTGTGTGGCTTGCAGTGACATGCTATACTGTCAAGGTATTAATAAATTATGAAATGGTCATTATATGCTGTATTGAATAATATGATCCACAGTAGCAAATCTAAAATATATTTAGAATATATTTAGAAGTGGTTTCATGAATTAAACAGGATTGGGGGGAAGGGGTACCAACACATACGTACACATGCTATAGCGTCGCAATGCAATATAAAACAAATAATGGGGTTTTTAAAGACCAGGTGGCATCCAGTGGTATAAAAATACTCGAATCAACCGTGCTTCAAAAAAACAACTTTTCATTAGGTTGTACATGCAAAAGAAAACAACACAAACTCATGAAGGGTGTCACTCCCAAAATCAAAGAAACTAATCAATTATGGGAAGGGATTATGATTATCATGAACCTCTATCATTACCTCTTTACTCCATAAGCCATATTGAGCAGATTGTCCAACCTGCAAAACATACATTTAGCAAACTTCAGTTTTTAATTTTCCCCTTGATGTTCAAGAAAGCTGGGTTTGTTACTGACATCTTCCAAGGGGAGTATTTGTATGTTAATTCTATGTGAACTCTCAAAACTTTGGTCTTTTCACATTCCTGAGAGAATGGGTACCCACGTCCCTAAGACACTAGTTCTTCCAATGGATACAGTTTATCCCTACAGTGATCAGAACCATACAGGCAAAATATAAGTGGTCATTTGAGGACACCTTTCAGAGAGGAAATGTGGAGGCTCTGCAACAGTTCATCTTTGGATTCTCATCTGTTACCAGGTAAATTCTAAGTGCTCCACATGCACCTACATGTACTTTATACTACCTGTTACAAAAAAGAAGAAAGAAAACAGGCCTCAAATGGAGTCACCTGTGCTGAGCCCCATGTCAGCAAACCAAGACTTAATATCTAAGCTAATAGTAAGTTCAAGAATACAAACTTTAACAGTCAGGCTGGAATTACCTGGTCAGCTCTAGTGACCCCCACACCTTTCCCCCAAAGGAAGGTGACCTTGGTGACCTTGCCTGAAACAATCCACTCTTTGTTAGAAATGTCCCCTTGCCTGCTCCCTTCTGCCTGTAAAAGCCTTCCATTTTGTACAGCCCTTCTTTGGACCTCCTTTCTATTTGCTAGGTGAAATGCTGCCTGATTCATGGAGAATAAAGCCAATTTGATGTTCAAATTTACTCAGCTGAATTTTGTTTTTTAACATTAAGTTTTATAACTCCATTAACTCCTGTGTATACCAAGGCACACCGATTGACTTGCCAAAGAGCATAGGGCTAGTAAACAGTGACACCAATATTCCATAAATCTCCCTTCAACCTCTCCACTCTGAAAGACTTTCTTTTCTTACAAAATGGTGTATTACAGGTAGAAAGAACCTTACAGACGGTATTAGCTCAATCTGCCATTTCTCTGTGGGCTCAATTAAGGTGCAGAGGAAGACAACAGACTCATTGCTTCAGTGAGCAACAGAGCAAAAAGGTCAGACCCGGCGACCGATGCTTATTCTGACTATGCTACAGGAAGCGTAGCTCTACTCAAGGTCTAAGAAGCCAGGTTAGAAACAAACCAACTTGAGCTTCTCTTAAAATTTTTAAAACAAAGTAGTTGGGGGTGCGTAGGTACTCTTTAAAACTCTCTATCCTTTTCCTATTTCAAAAATTAAGTTGATTTTATAATACTTGATTCTTCTTGCTTGGTCAGTTTCAAGGAGACCATTCTGATGTTCCAAATTTCCATAATGTGTACCAGTTAATTACATGTGTTTAGGGGAGGTGGGCATAGCGTATAGTAGACGGAACCAACCTCAACTGCCACGATGTTCAACACTCTCCAAGTGAGACCCTGAGGCAGGGGGAACAATTTTTTTCTTTAACACCTATGAAAGGTAAGTCTGAAAAACGCCTCAGTGTTATTGTCTAACCTGTGGCCTCAAATGAGGTTAGGGCACACATGAGAGAACATTTGCTTCAATCGCTTCTAGTTTTATAAAAGCCAAAAAACATCTCCTTCTGGTCTTTTAGAACTGGAAAAAGAATCTTCACACATTCCTATCCACAATAATCACCTCTGGGCATTTTGTGTGTTTTGCAAAAATGGAAAGAAATAACTAAGCTGATAAGATGCAAAGTGCAAGGAAACAGAACAAATCACAGTGGCAAAGGATCCTCATCTGTGTGTGTCTGTCCCGTCCCAACACCCTCTCAGAAGCAGGGACATGTTCATTCCTAACTGTGCCACTAAGCATAAAGCACAGGCCTGGATCACTGCAAGTTTATAGTAACTATCTGTTGACAAATAAAGCAATATGGTTACAAATACTATCCTTAACTACTTAACCCAGAATGAAAACTATCAAAAGGGCTGGCTGGGGAGCCTGTTTGCACATGCAAGGAGAAAGCATGTATTTGGGAAAAGTACACAGGTGGGAGGGCTTGGTTTTCTGCAGAGGCAGTAAGTCAAAGACGTCATGCCTCTACACGCCAAAAGAAAGGCCACGAACACCAGAAATAAAGATGCGTACAACTTAGTATATCACCAACCATAACATAATCTGATACAGATAATTTCATACAATGACTGGGATGATCAATAAAGAATGCATTTGGCATATGATACCTGTAGAAGAGAATGGCAACTGAAGTCTCCTTCCTAAGCGCTGAAGGGCCCAGACACAGAGACACCTTATCGATTCACTCAAAATAGAATTACACCATCTCTGCCCAGGTAGGGGTGTCCCACTTTGCCACCATCATCTTACTCTACCAACCAAAAGTCCAGAGATTGCATCTCCTAATCAAGTTTTCAGTATTTTCAAGACAGGAAACCAAAACTGCCCCAGATATGAATTACGTGTGTTAGGGAGAGACATCTCATTCACAATTCTTCATCCAAGGACCCTCTAGGCAGGAGGCCTAGGATATTTATACTAGGATCTCTGAGGACTCTCTCAGTGGGCCTCCTATGTGCCCCACCTATGAAATCCTATGATACACTGTGATCCTGACCATGGATTTCTCTCCTCAGTACCCATTTCCAGAAGAAATTCAGTCTTCTGGAACTTAAGACAAGTTATCTGTCTAAACACCATCATCCCCTCCCGCACCAGCATCTCCTTCCACCCCCCTTCCTCTCTCCCACACCCCCCATTACCAAGGAGAGCCAGGAGGAGCATGGGACCTGAAAAACAGGATGTAGGCAAGGCCAAAAACCCCAGCCTGCAAGCGTGTGGACCTGGCAGTTTTCCCTGCTCTCTTCGCACCACACACTCATGCTTCTCATGGGAGCTGTAAGAGAGCAGTGAGTGCTCCACATGGACACTATGCAACCCAAATCCTGTAGCAGCTGGAAAACTGTAAACTAAGCATCTTCTCTTGTAACTGCTTAGTTTACAGTTCGCTCAGACACAGGACCACTATTACTCTCCAGAATGATACATCTTTGCTGGGTGTGTCCAGAGCTTGAGGACAGTCATCTTTTATAGCTGGTCATTTAAAAATAGAAGCCAATATTTAATGGAGATCAAGTCAGTAGTGTCCAGAATGATCCGGGGGGGGGTGTGAATGATGACATACTACAGGGTGAAAGAAAAGAGCCCATTAAAAAGATACTTTTAACTTTAAAAATATTCTTTACTCAAATTTAATGGATGCACTGCAGCCAGTACCCTCACTCAGTCCCCATGCACTGCTTACTTTCTGAGGTAAGACTGAGCAGTCCATCAAGAGACAGTGACACTCTTCCCCTATTCTGTAGCTTGGATATAATCCACTTTACAATAACACATGAACTGGATATGGAGGATTGGACAGGGAAACCTAGCTTTCATTAAAATAACCCTCCAAGAAGAGGTAAATTCACAAAGATTTCTATAAAAATCATCATCAGAGTCAGGACGACACGAGTAAAAGCAGCCCAAGTAAACAAAACAGGGACAGAGCTATTTCTGATTATTTCTCCTCTTCCTAGTACAAAGTCCGCTATGAGGTTAGACACAAGATAATCCAACATGAAGTTCAAAATTACCAAAGATAATTTTATGAATCTCACTTTAAAGATATAGGATTTATTAAGATACTGAATAAATAAAAAGTCAGCATGATAATAAGACATTAAAATATTGTTTCTTTCATCTTTATATGTATTTTCTATGTTTGATCAGGGTTTATGAGTTCACAAATGTAATAGCACAAGCCCGTGTTCATATAATTTATGAAAAAATATGTACTGGGGATACCGTGTACAAACATTTTCCTCTCAACAGGAATACAACTCAGACTAGGCAATATTTTGAATAGAACCATATATTAGGTAGAGTACTCCCATTTCAAAGTTAGAGGTCTACAAAAAGAAAACACCTAGTTTCCAAGAAATTTAGCTGACAGGTTATGGGGAGGCCCACACACAAGTAGAAGGGGAAATGTGAAGTCCATTCAAGTCAGAAATAAAAATATAAAGAGAGATTTACTAATGGGTAAGAAAGTGCAACTCTGAACTCCACAAATAATGGTTCTCAAAACCTCTCCAAAGCACTGGCCAAAATGTGCTTTGAAGTTAAACCACAAGATCATCAACTTACCCCTTCTCCCGTTACATGGTGTCATCTAACCTCTAAGAGAAAAAAATTATTCAGGAAGACTGATACCAGTTTCTTCCAAAAGGAAATTAATGATAGTAGCAACCAGCCCATGCCTTCAACGCAACACAAGCACGGATTTAAAAGACTCCTTTAAAAATGCATAAAGGCTTACAGAAGTAGGCACTCAGGCCATTAGACTAGATCACATTCAATAAAATTAAAGCTGCTCCACAAGAAGAGAGATGAAAAATTTGGCTGAAAGCATAATTCTGACACTGTGTTCCAGAAATATACTTAAGGGGCTTGAATTCTACTATCCATCCAAATAAATAAGGATGGTTTTATTTTGAAAACTGTAGTCAATTAAGTAAGCATATAAGATCAGCTGTGCTCATGTTAAAATAATTCTCTATTTGTATGGATTGACTGAATCATAAACTTCACAAGCCCACTTTTGAACTTAAACGTTACTGCATGGGTTTTACATTTTTTTTTTTTTACCTTAAAAGATATGGTGCATTTCATGAATATTAAAAATATCCTTTATTATTATAATACTTATAACTTGTATTCTCCTATCTCTTTCAACTCCCAAGGTACTATGACAACATAAAAAACACAATGAGAAATGTTCTAAATGTCTGCTGGAAAGTGACAAACTGAAGGCTAAGAGCATTAGGACACAGATGTTAGGGACAAAATATTTCTGTAATGATCTAGACTTGAATGAGAGAAGAGCAAAATACCAAAAAAACAAGCAAGTCCTTAATTCAATGGTCTTTATGAAGAGAAAGAAGATTCAACCTTAATTCAACAGAAGAGGAGGGAATAAAGGTAATGACAACCAAGTTTTTAAAGTATTAAAAGCAACCAAACATTTATCAGGTTAAACCTGAACTCTAGGAATAAAGGCTCCTAATTTCTTCTAAAACTGAGTCTAGACCAAGCACTTTCACTGAGCTCAAAGACTAGTTCATTACTTATTACCTACACAGAGAATATGAAAGGAAAGAACAGAGGGCGGCAGAGATGAGAGTTAGGAATTTGAAATGACAATAAAAATCTTCTCCGTTTTCTGAAACCGAGTCTCCCTTACAACAGACAATTCTTATTCGCTTGTTTTCAGAATTTCTTTTTCTAGGAGTCAAGGAAGAATTTCAAGTTAATAACGTATGGGACAGAAAGATAAAAGCAAAGGATGGGCAGAGAGATATTTAGAAAGATATTAAATTTGACCATCATAACATCCTGGAAAGCTTTCCCAACCCACAAGTAAGAAGCACGGAGCATGCAGGGAGTGGGCTGGGTGGGGCTGTGTGCAGACACAGCAGTTACCAGCCTGTCTGGGAGTCTCCTGCGTGCCTCACCATTTCAATGATCAGGCATTCTCCTGCAGATCCTGCCACCTCAGACCTTTGGTCTGATCTTCCTCATCATTCAGTCCTGACTCTCAGAACACAGTTTTACTTAATAACCACCATAAAATGAAACCAGAGCTTACAATGGAAAACACCAGAAATAACCAACAATTCAAAATGAACATAGCTCTCTATTAACATCAAACATTTTATATTTTCACGGGGCTGAAATCAGCCAGTAAGTCTCAAAGAACCTCCCTCTATGTAAGCTCAAAACTCTTTTCTAGACCCCAAAGAGCTCTGAAGTTAAGTGAAGAGGCTGTCCAGGAAACACCTCTAAACTTTGTTCAAGTCTGTGCAAAATTTGCAGAAAATATTATTCACTTTAAGATGCCATGCAGGAAACCTATAGGCAGAGCTAAAAAAACAAACAAAAACAAACTTTTTTTTTTAAGATTTTTCTCCACAAGGGCAAATATCAAGTTGCTCCAATGCATCTCTCGCCCTACAGCCATGGCCTCGACCACCCACCATAGTCAAAGGGAGCAGGGTTTCCTGACAATGGGTTGTTTTTGTTTTGTTTTGTTTTGTTTTAACATCGCAAAGTTTAAAGCAGAGAGTGAACACAGGCTCAACCAACTGGGCAACCCAGTCACCTAGTTTCAAATGGATCCTTTTGACAGTACCACCTTTTCTGCCAGGGCAAAAGCTAGCCTAAGTAGGAACTGAACACAGTGTTTATGGCAAATTTCTTTCTCACACCTCAGGTGACACAGTTGAGTATTTTTTTAAAGCAGGTATCTGACCGATTTTATCTCCATTCTTTAACTCTATTAATACCCCAGTGAAAAAATGCATGTGATTTAAGCTCAAAAACGTTAACTCCTCATTAAGTTACATTTGTGATCCTATTTTTGGTAATTAACTATTCTGCCCCTGCAAGGAATGAAAGAAAACTGATAATGCACTTAGGATTAAAAAAAAAAAAAAAATTTAGTATGGGGTTAGATGGAATTATGGCTGCAGTATATCATATGGCCAAAAAGGATATTAAAAAATGTTCTTGAAAAAAAACTGGGTGGCTTTGCTTATGAAACCAGTTCTTTGTGCTGTGTTTAATGTCTTAAAGTCACTGTTCTCACATGCAGATTAAAATGATTCTTGATTTGATTGTTACCCCAGGTTTAAATTAAAACTTGAAAAACTGAAATATTTATGCTTGTCTAACAAGATAGAATGTCTTCTTTGGGCTGAAGATGCATAGTCATTCTACGGACTATACAGGGGTCTGAAAACTACCACCCACAGGCCAAATCCACACTGCCATCTGTTTCTATATAGCCCAGGAGTGAAGATTGGCTTTTACATTTTTAAAGAGCTGTTTAAAAAAAGGATCTATATGCTACAGAGACCATGACCCCCAAAGCCAGAATATTTACTATCCAGCCCTTTACAGGAGGTTTGCGAACCCCTAAAATACAATAAAAAATTTTAAAAGGGGAGAGGGATCCATTTGTAGAAACTTAATGTTTTTGCATAGGTTGTATCTCTTTAGTGATGTACATATTATAAAACAAAATAACTGAAAGAGCTTGACCTAAAAGCTAAAATACGAGAATAAAATCTTACCAAGAAAAAAAACTAGAAAGGGGAAATCAGAAGCACTAGAAACAGAACCCAGCATTCCATAGGTCAGGGTTTCTCAGCCTTGCACTATTGATGTTTGGGGTAAGATGATTTGCTGCTGTTGGGGGTTATACTGTGCACTGCAGGATGTTCAGCAGCATCCCTGACCTCTACCCAGTAGATTCCAGGAGCACCCGCACCCAAGTTGTGCCCACATGTCTCCAGATGCTGCCAACTGTCCTGAGGGGCAAAATTACTCCCCAGTTGAGAACAACCTCTATAGCTTATTGTCCTTTTTCGTTACCACCTTCAACAGTAGCAAAAGACACTAAACCCCAAAGAGGTTTTCTCTGTGCCCATAAGAAAAAGAAAGAGAATACCACGAACAGTAAGAGCAAACCCGAATCCTGTCAACAAAAGTATTGCACAGTGAATCTGAGAGTTCTGAGTGTAGTAGCTGGGCGTAAGAACCAGACCATACTTACCTAAAACGCTGTGCCTGCTGAGCTAGTGGTCCTGGATACCTTCTGTTTGGAGACTGGTACAGCTGGGAAAGGATGGCCTGATTGGTTTTTTGGCTTGGATTATTAGCAAACTTTACAGTGATTGGCTCTGTGGCACCAGGAGGTTTCTGGCCATTTAGGCCTTTGATAGCTTCTTCTGCCTCAATCCGCTTGTCAAATCGAATAAACCCTACACCCCTTGATATGCCTATTGGTAGATTTGGGTAAGGATTTGGGAAAGAGGAAGCGGAAGGAGAAGGGAGGGAGAGAAGAAAGGATAAATTAATTTTTCCTTCTCAAAACATGTTTTCAGTCACATATAACATCTGCCACAAAATCAGAGGAGGAAAGTTTTACCTTACCTTAGTAGCAATTCAGTCTAGAATCACAATTTTGTATTTTTTTAATGCATGAAGTCATCTATACAATCTGAATACCCATTATTACATACCTACCAATAAGCCCAGACAAAGAGAAAGCATGCAAATACGTCCCTGTTCTCCGACCTGCCGCCTTCTCTCTCCACATATACTCTCTTGTCTTCAATAATGTCAACAACAGCATGCCTGATTTCTATTTCTCAAATTACGGTCTTGGATAGCGGCTCAAAAATGAAGGGCACAGGAGCTTCCTCTCTTGTAACAAGAACAGAACCAGGCATTTGCTAAAAATGCTAAAAAGCTATGCTAAAAACACATCACAGTGGTTGAAAGATATTTCAGCTAAATTTTTGAAAAATAAAGTTCTACTTAGTAATATTACATAGGATACTGGCCCACTCAGAAAAATGTCTGAAGAGGCTTTTCTGGTTCCCTGAAACTTCCCCCACTGATTTTAACTAGCTATACTTTATGAGAGAAACAGTATTATATGGAGAAAAAGGGATAAAAGAGGACCTACATTTTTAAAATAAAGAAAATAGAAATAAAGCCTCAAAGCTTTCTGGCTCCAGCAGTACTGGTCCTATGGAAATGCCATTCTCTGTCTCATGCTCTCCCCGCTCTGACAGACAAGAATAGGAAAGCAGAGGGATGGCCAAATACCGGTCCAGCTTTTGAAAAATGGCAGAGAAAAACCCAACCCATTCCATTTAATTAGCTTTACTGGGCCAGTTGAGGCGGCCACAGCCGGCCACCCAGAGATACACAGGTGTAGGGAATGCTTTCTTGGCAAGCAAATTGGTATTAGCTGTACTAGCTTGGGACTAGTAGCTAGAAAAGTCTAGATGATTCAGAGTATGTCAATGAAGAATAGAACAAAGGTTACTGAGAAAGACAAGCTGAGAAAATGTACTAGACCATCAAGATTTATAGGAACTTTAAAAAGGAATGAAGTTCTACTTGCTTTATAATTAACGCTGTGTAAGTTCAATGGCTTAGAATTTTATTCTAAGGTGGAGAGGCATTTCTTTCATATACACTTATCTCAGCCCATACCACTTTTCCTTTCCTATTTAAGTTACATCAGCTGTACACTATCACCACCTGATGGCTGAATAACAAAATTGCAGGGTTTTCTTTTCCATTTCAAGTAAAGTGAATAATTTCACCTTCAAAGTCTTAAGTATAAAGAGTAAAGATAAAATGGTGAAATGACAGTAAATATATTCTTTAAGCTATCCACTAACAGGAAGAATTAATAACCCCCTAGAGCTTAACTATTCCATGAGGAAAGCATTAGATTAGCAATGCAACAGCCTCCACACAGACTGAGTCACCTAAACCTGAGGCCCTCTAACTTGAGCATGCATCAGAATAACCCAAAGTGGGGGGCACCTGGCTGGCTCAGTCGGTTATTAAACAACTGACTCTTAGTTTTGGCTCAGGTCGTGATCTCATGGGTTGTGAGATGGAGCCCAAAGTCTGGTTTGGCGCTCCGTGGGGAGTCTGCTTGAGATCCTCTCCCTCTGCCCCTCCACCCACTTGTGAGTGTGCGCTCTCTCTCTCTCTCTGAAATAAATCTTAAAAAAAAAAAAAAGAATAACCCAAAGGCTTGGTACAATGCCCATCTTCAGAGTTAAAGAGATGGGCCTTCTGTAACAGAAGTGAAATCTACTCTCCACTCACCAGGTTTTCATTAAAAATGATGAATTAGAAAGTATGAATGATATGAACCAAAAAAAGGGCATTTCTGTTGCTTTAAGCAAATTTACCTGGATTGCTAGACCTGGATTTCTTCTATTTAACCAACTAGCAGTCTGTGTGATACAGCAGAGTGACAGAATGTACAAGGAAAATTATAAAATGCAGCTTTGATGAAAAGACCATATTTTTTATATTCCTTCCCTAGACAAAATTTTCTTCATACAGCAAAACCTACAGGCCATTCTCCCAAGCATGTATATGATATCTCTCTACCCAGAACTCTAAGGATGATGCTTCTTATGTATGAAGCCAATTAACAGCACAGGGGAGCAGAACACGGACTGCTTCTGTTCAAACTCAGATCTTCACTTGAATTAAGAACTTGGCCTGATTTTATTCTGTAGTTAATCTACTGCATCTTTTTTTTTTTAAGATTAGAGCAGAAATAGGGGCGCCTGGGTGGCTCAGTTGGTTAAGCGACTGCCTTCGGCTCAGGTCATGATCCTGGAGTCCCGGGATCGAGTCCCGCATCAGACTCCCTGCTCAGCAGGGAGTCTGCTTCTCCCTCTGACCCTCCCGCCTCTCATGTGCTCTCTTTCTCATTCTTGCTCTCTCAAAATGAATAAATAAAATCTTTAAAAAAAAAAAAAGATTAGAGCAGAAATAAATGATGTAGAAACTAAAAAGACAACAGAACAGATCAGTGAGACCAGGAGCTGCTTCTTTGAAAAGATCAACAAAACTGATAAACCTCTAGCCAGATATATCAACACAAGAGAGAGGACTCAAAATCAGAAATGAAAGAAGAGAATTAACAGACCCACAGAAATACAAAGGATTGTAAGAGATTATCCACTGCTTCCTTTAGAGAAAACAGACATTGTAATACACGATGATGCAATCTCCTCTGGTGGTATTAGAAGAGACAGGGAAAAAGGAGAAAGAAAACAGGGAAAGTGAGAGGAAAGAAAAGGAAGAAACACAAAGAAAATTAAAGAGGAAAATCTATGTTTTCCCCAAAACTCATAAAATCGTAATGTGACTGCTTGAGTATATGGCACTACTTAATTTTCCCCTCCTTACCATGTTTCTCTGTTTTCAATACGTTTTTAAAAAGAATACGCATTGTTTTTATAGTAGAAAATTATAATTTATTCTTTAAAATCCATAATCAAATCTATATTGCTAGCTTTTCTTTAAAAGCTTTGGCAGAAGAGCTCCCTTACAAAAGTTTTAATAAACCTATTATTCTTCTCATTTCGGTTTGGTCAAAAGTTGTACCAGGCATAAAATACATTTTTAACATTCAGAATGTCAAACTCTTACACATGCCCATCTGATACGGCATGGACCTAGAAACCAGCCTGAATGCTACTGTGGACACAGTGTCATCCTCCCTTAGAGCACAAGGTACATACTGCTGCATTAAACTACGCTTTTTACAAGAAAACAAGACTGTTTACTAGGAGGAGTACTTTATGAGGAGGATAGGGGTTTTCCTCACGCAGCAGCTTGTAAATGAGGATTATATCACCTACAAATTTATTACATGCCATAAAACGGACTTCGAACCTGCCCTTTCGGGGTGGAAATGACTCAAGCTCGCTCATTCCACTCCACAATCTATTTTTATCCATGCATATTTATGAACAATTCCAGCAGAAAATTGCATTTTCTGGTCCACATATACCTTTGATGTGTTCCAGAGGCAAGACTGCTGTATGGAAAGGCAGACTATTTCACAATCTGCCACTCAGAAAGTGTAAAAGATTGTCTAGAGCAGCTGCCTACTTACCAGTGACCTGGTCAACAAGAATACGAGAAGTAATGATGCGGCCATATTGTGAAAAGAGCTGCTCCAACTCCTTCTGGGTCATTGTTTTCGGAAGTCCGCTGACGTACAAATTCGCATCTCTGATAGAAGCTGAACTTGGGCGAGCATAGGAAACCTAGGAAAGGAAAATGAAATTAAGCATCTACACACACTCAGTTACCTCCCTTCAGAAACTCAAGGACTGTCTAAAGTTAGTCAGCAGCTTTTCCATACAGAGAACATAACAATGAAGTTAAAAGCAGGTCCGGTATTAACAGTTTTACTCATTTCTGGAGAAAATGCTCAACAAATGGGAAATGCCACTCCCTCCGGGGGGGGAGGGGAAGATAGAGTATTTATCCCTAGGTTTGCAGGTTTTCAAAACACATCACATAGCACAGTACTAATCACGGTAATAGGTTGTCCTCAGTGGGGCCAACCCCCTAAACCAGGAATGTAGGCTCAATCGAATAATTAAGCTTAAGGACTCTAAATTCATCCAACACATTCTTGTGACCTGTTTTTGAGCCTTTCCCATCTCTGCAGCTGGTGGTACAAAGTTTCTAAAAAGTCACCCTATTATCCATAAGTATGCCTTTTAGATTCATTGCCAAAATAACTTTCTATCATCCCTAAAATCCCAGAAATTTAAGTATGTGAATGAGCTAGATCCTTTGTTATTCTTTGCTTTTTGTCTTCTTGTCCACAAGTCTCTGTAACATTGATTTTTCCAAAAGGTCTTGAGTCCCTTTATTGGCTCTACCTACCATTTTATGTATTCTTTCAAAAAGCTTCCTCTAAGATATAGTGTCCAAAATTCTAGAAGGATGGAAGACAAAATAAGTCTGCCTGTATTTATTTGTAACCAACATTCTTCATGTAAGCTCCATGCTCTAAGGAACTACATCTCTCTTTCTTATCATGGTTATCCTCAGTATCTTGGCATGTGATAGATGCTTGAATATTTGCTGAGTAAAACCCATCTAATACGCCACTGATCCTGTGGGTCCACACCAGCTTCCTAGACCAGAGGATTTAAGGGACAGTTCATGCAGTCACCAAGAGCTTGCCCAAATTATAATCGATGGCTCTTTGCTTAGAACTCTCTCTGCCAATTTTCAGATAGCTCTAAGTCTCATGTGTTATTCCTGACCACATTCCCTCTGGTTTAATTCTAAGCTCTCCTGGACTATCTAACTGCAAGAACTTCACAATACAGCCCCCATCTTTCAGATCATTCATAAAAATGGCCAGTGGATCTAACTCAGATTGATTTTTCAGGTACCATAACATGATAACTTCTGCTTGCTACTTCTATCTATTAGTATCCACCTTTAATCTAGTCCATTGTTCATTACAAAAACAACAACAAAAAAACCATCTTTTCAATTTAAACAAGCTTTTGGTATTTTCAAATATTTTCCCCATGGTTTAAATTATGTCCACAGTGTTATCACCTTTTTATTTTTGGCTTTTCATTTCGGGGGGCGGGGGGGGAGCCAGGTTTTATACTCCTTTATAAAAGTCTTGCTATCTTTCATCCCTGCCCCACTAGTGTTAACATTTAATATTTTTATCCTTTATTCAACAAATCTGCTCATTAACGAGTGAAAATACACCTATTGGTCCAAAGACTATATCTGAAGTCAAGTGAGCACTGTCTTATCCGACAAACACAAGGAATTTAGAATAGTGGTAGAGAGCATAGATAACTATTCACATGTACTTTCTCTCTACACCTAAAAGAAAAATGAAGACTGGGGAACTTAAATGTTAAAAGTAAGAAATTAAGGAAAATTCCACGTGATCACCAAAATAATTCAAGTGGAATCTAGTCTTGGGACTGCTATTAACTGAAAAAACAAAGCAAATGAATTACACATGCACTCAGCGGTATGAAAAAATGAATACCCAGTTTCTTTTCTAAAGCACAATTCTCAATTATCAGGGTACGCTAAAAATCCCACCACTTAAACTCTTGCTTTCAGTGCAGGGAGCTCTCAGCAAGTCAGCTGTTAGTCTGCTCCGGATATCACGTGACCGAAGTGTTCCCTTTAGGAAGAGCCACTTCACACGGGCAACAGAGTCAGCATCTGCACATTCTCAAAGTTGGGAGGCTCCCTTCCATGGGCTAGTGAAGCATGGGCTCAAGCAAGGCATGAGGTATTATAACGTAGTTATAGGGGACAGCTCTCTAACCAGTATACCTGGGCTCAAAACTATGTGCAATTCATTAAAGGCTCTGTGAACTTGCATAAATTATCTATTACCACATAACTGGACCTTTGTATGGTTATTAGGAATAATTAATAAAATAATTTCTAATCTACATAAAATTCTTAGCACAGAACCTAAAAACCTAGGTGACTATATTATTTACTTCTCCATGCATCTGAGAATATAGGTAAAGACATAGACCATTAAAGTTGAGAGTAACCTGAGTCCATTACTGTGTTCCAGAATAATTTACTCATGCAGTGACATTTACTGCTGTGTGCATTTCAGAGGAGTGTGGGTGGAGTGTTTTAAAAGTTATCCTAAAATATATTTAGGAAAACGGGTTTATATTTAGTGCTTATATAAAAGCTTTGAAAACATACTTGGGTCAGCTATGTTATCTTTTTTTTTTTTCTTCAACATCTGGTCTTGAGTTCACATTGCTTCTTTAATTCTCAGCCTGTACTGACAATATTTTATTTTCTGTATTCTTGATGCTCTAGCATCTGGGGCCTTGATCCTGGAGAGACCGCCCCTCCCAGGGAGATAGCAAATGACTCCGGTGAGCATGCCTTTGATATATAAACAACCAATGCAGAGCCCACACCCGTAACTCCTTTATCAAATTCTCACACACCAAGCCTATTCCCCCTGTCCTAACCCCAGGGCCAGATGCCTGACAACTAGGAACCCCTACCCCCCACCAGGCTAGAGTCCTTCAAAATTATTCAAACTAACCATTGCTAAACTTACTCAGCACACCTACTGTGCCTCGCCCTTTACTCCCCACCAGGAACTCCAATAAAAGCTCTGGGCCATACTCTACCCTCCTCTCTGCCTCTTGACCATCCCTGATGCTTCCCCATGTGGCCTTACATGTCATGTGTCACCCCCCGTTTCTAAAGATCTGTAACTATAAACTTCTTTCTTCATAACAATCATTTCCATGTCTGCACGTCCTACCATACCTGATTAAAACAAATCCTGGGTACGTTTTTAGAATGCAACTATGTTGTTTGTATGTAAAGATTTTATTTATTTATTTGAGAGAGAGAGAATGAGAGATAGCACGAGAGGGAAGAGGGTCAGAGGGAGAAGCTCCCCGCCGAGCAGGGAGCCCGACGTGGGACTCGATCCAGGGACTCCAGGATCATGACCTGAGCCGAAGGCAGTCGCTTAACCAACTGAGCCACCCAGGCGCCCCAGAATGCAACTATGTTAAAAGGGCTCCAAGAACCAATAATAAGCCTCCTCAAAAGAGTGTTTTTCAGGAACTTCCTCAGGAACCGGTTCCCATCACCATAGGCAGGACAGAGGTGACTACATTGCATATAAACTCACGGTAGTAACAAATAATATTTCCATTTAATTTACACTTAGGGACTTACGAGACTTCACCATGTGCAAAGCATTTTCAAATAGTGTTTTGTTTGTGAGAGGTAAGGCACGCATTAGTATTTTATAGCTGGGCAAATAGGTACAGACAAGGTAAATAACCTGCCTAATGTTACATACCACTGGATTCAAACTCTGATCTTCTGACCCCATGTCCTTGTCTCCTTGTCCAGTTTTCTTTCTAGAATTTACCACACTATATAACTTTTGTTCTGAAAGTTTGGAAAAATTAAATGAATCTTGGTTGTTTCTTATAAACACACAGACACACACACACCCACACACACATTGAAACTGAGCTAAGATAGAAGAGGATGACACTAGAAATTGTAGTTATGTCAAAGTTACTGTATTTCATTTTCCATTAATATTTCTAAAAAGTAACTTCTCCCAAGAATGAGTGGTCACTAATTGAGATTCACTGCAGAAACTGCATAATTAGAATTTTTAAATTAGCTTTTATTACTTTCTAATTCTTAGAATGAATTAAATGAGCAATGTATCTCCCCTCTATCCCTCATCCACTTCCAAGAAAAAAAAAAAATGTAAGGGCAACCATCCCTCTCCCAGACCAAGGGGTTATGTCTTGCCCCTACACCTTTGTTTCTCAGGATTAACAGGCCCCTCCCCTGCTCTATCAAAGACATCACTGTCAATAACATCATCCCTTCCAAGACAAGCAAAGTATTTCTTCTTCCATTTCAAGGGATTATCAATGGAATGTACTTAGATCAAAGTAGGAAGAAGACTCCCCCAGTGGGATAAGGACTTGTTCTTGGAGATTCGAATCAGTTTCCAGACAGAATTTTGTATCTAGAAATTATCAGCAACCTTCTCCATTCTGATTTTTCTGTGGACGTGAAGCTTGCACTGGTGCCTTAAATCACCAGGAGAACCACTCTTGATCTATCTTAAACCTCACAGTGTTAAGTCTATTTTTATGGTTCTTCAAGGTTAAAACCTCTTGGAGAAGACCCAAGAGATGGTTTTGTTTTACGGCAAATTATATATTAGAAATAATTCAATACAATGAACCTCCAGCATATGTCCCAGTGGGGTCAAAATAGCTTCTTCCTTCACCAACTGCAAGCTGTTCTCCAATCTACATTCAATGGATTAACAGAATGGGTTTGGATTTTAAATTTTCACTGCCATTTAAACAGGTGAGTATTTAATGCCTGAGGAGTAAGGTTATGAAATGTCAAAACTACTAAGTGAAGGATCTAATTTAAGAGGCAGCCAGAGAGCCTGCAATTTAAATATTTAAAGATGATACAGGGAGTACAACACTGAACACCAATCTACTCCAAAGATAGCAATTTAAAACTCAGGTTTATTCTGGAATTTCTCACAACCCTACAAGTGATATAATAAACAAAGACAAGCAATACTGAGATTACTTGAGGGGAAGGAAAGGAAGCAGTCAGAAGTACCAGGCAAATAAACGCTCTAGCCAATGGCTTCTCAAATTGTTCTTCACAAATGAGATCACACTGGACAAAATAGAGATAAAAATAGATTTAT